TCTTTCGAGTAAGTTAAAATAAAAAAAAAAAAAATAAAATTGAACTGTTAGCTATATGTACTTAAAATTCTAAGTAAAAAGAATTGGAATATTATAAAAGTATTTTCCATAGATCTTTTTTTGTTATAGAAATGAATTGCGCGCTCCTATTGATGACATGAAGACAATGATAAGAAAAAACAATAAAATTTTTTAAATGTTTTCTTTATTCAACAAATAATGAATCGGACAACAAGAAAAACACACACACATCTGATTCTCTCTTCTCCTTTCTTATTAACATTATCTTCATGTCTGCGATGAAAGCATGCGATCTATGTAAAAAGTTTATATTTTCTTTAATATGATTAATATTGTGTATGTTTTTTGTTTTGTTTACTCTAGATCATTTAAATCAAGAAATTTTATTTCATAGCAGCCATGGTTTACTAGACACCGCAATTTTCCATAATTTGTCCCGCAATGTTCTTGGTGATTTAATAAGTAATTATTTTCTTTTTCTTATATTAAAAAGAATATATAATTAATAATAATAATAATAATTAAAAATAATTTTAAATAATAATTGATATATAGCCATATATTATTATCATATTGCATTAGATAATATTCACTTTTTATTATTTATCATTGATTTATGCTTGTTTTGAAAACTAAAAATTTTATGAATCGATTTGCCGTAGATTTAATGAAACTGGTGATATATCTTACAGAAGATATAATTTATAAAGCTGGCACTGATAGTGACTATATGTATTTTATAATCAGCGGAACCGTTGTACTGATCACATTCTCAGGGAGAGAAGTAAGAGATTGGAAACGTTTACATAAAAAAAAAAAAAAAAATGAATTTTTGTTTTGTTCGAAATTACAATCAACTAATGAGATGTGTTTTCAAGATATGTCATTTACATGATGGTGATTATTTTGGCGAAGCTGGTATGGTCTATCCGGATCGGCGTAGAGCGGAATCGGTTATCGCTCTGGAAGTGTGCGAGCTATTTCGCTTGCATCGTCGCGATTTCAAGCGTCTTTTCGCCAAAAACTCAGAGTTTTATAACAGCTTGGAACATACCGCGCGAGAACGTGTGCAACAAATTAAGAAATTGGGTGACGATACCGATCAGAGCGGACGAAAATGAAAGAAATCAAAAGCAGTTATTCATTCTACGCAATTGAGATTCTGTAAATTAAATTCATTTTACTTATTAGTTGTATAGAAAAAAGTAGGGAAAAATTTTCTTAAAAAAAATTTGTTAAATTAAATGCCATGCACTGTAATTTCGCGATACTTATCAATTTACATTTTGTTTTTAAATTTTTTAAAAAACATTTTATAAAGAATTAAATAAGAAAGTATATTTGGCGGTTTTTTATGTTTAGAATGGACCAGAACGCTAACGCGATAGAATAAGTTTGATTTAACGAGCGTAAATGTGGTATACAGGCAAAGGCTCCGCTTTCGTTTCCCACTGGCCTAGTAAAATCAACATGTGCCCGAGGTCGCTCGAAATAGCATTGCCATTCGAAGAGCAACATCTAATAGCTCCAGTAAATTAGGAACAGCAACGACAACGAGAAAGATATAGTATGTGTATATAGAGGGATATGTACATAGGATAAAAATCGACCAGAGTCGGAAATTGCGATTGATCGGGATTAAATGGGTTCGGAATAAGGCGAATGCTGACTTTTATCGTGTTTAATGGATATTTGTTATGTCCGGACATCATCATGGAGAGAATTGCGTCGTTGCAGCAAAAATAGGCTTCTGGAATAACAACAGAACTTAATATCTTTTAAATTTCTGTTTCAATTTCTGTATAATATTTTTAATATGCAGAATAATAATATAGGATACATGTAGGAAACGTAAAAATATCAAAATTAATCCAATTTTATAAATCAAATACATTTAATTTAATTGATCCCTTTTTTTATAAAAATAGTTTCCTTTTCAACATCATTGAAAAATTTAAATATTGAATTTTATCCACTTTTGATCATTTTGACTTTTGCTGTAGATAACATTATGAGAAAATGTTTTGCTTATTTGTAAAATTTAAATTTCAAATTCAAATGCAAAATGCTAATAAAAATTTCCAGATATTAAATTTTATCAAAATTGTGCAATTATTATAGTCGCCATATTGGATCCATTATTTTTACGTTTAATTTCAAAATTCTAGATAAACATTTGAGTATTTTACATATCTTATATTTATCTTATATATATATTTTATCTTACAGATATATATTTTCTATCTTACAGATATAGAAAATCAATCCTAAACATACACATCGCAAGAATCCTCATTATATTTATTTAAGATTTTATGTTATGAACACATGGAAAAATCTATTCATTTAAATCTCTATTTCGACATTAATTCCTATGCATGTTTCCTCGATCTTGATACGACGGTGAAGCATAATGCAGAAAAGGCGTCGTGTCAACATACTATGCATTACGTGTATGTCTGATTCACGTCGGTTGCGGGAAACAGACCGTGGTGAGGAGGGAAGAAGGCACATAGTATCATTGCGTAACAGCCTGTTGTTCGACACTGCAGCAACATTGCATCCCGTTGATGTAACTCTCAAAAATATCTACGATATAGCTTCCATTATAACAAGGATTGTGTGTACATCAATATGTATTATATGCGCAAGCAAATTCGCACGAGAATCACGTTAAGCGTTATTGTTAGAACTCAAGGCAATTCTTTTAAATGTCTATATAAACATGTTAGGTTTATATATATACTTTCAAGGTTTTTTTGCAACCTGGTAAATAAATGGAGTTAAGACATCCGCACTGATTATTGGCAGAGAGTCCGTGAACTCGTATATATTTATAGCTTGATATTAGTGCTAAAAATGTTGGATTTTAGAAATAAATTGTACTTTTGATTTAGAGAAATAGACACAATTTAGTTCGTTTTCTTCGAAGATATATTAGAGAGTCACTGAAAATAAAATGTACGTGAACAATTTACTAGTTATAAATTTTCACAACTCTCAATTATTTGCGTTTTTATTAACTTGCTACTATATAGATTTTTTAATTATTTATCTTGGAAGTAAATCGCTTTTTGAATGCTGTTTCTCTATAAATATAATTTGCAAAATGCATAAGGATAAACATTTATCTTTATGCACTTGCTTTATTTTTTCTAACTTTATTTATTTTTCCAGATATCTTGATAGCAATTCTAAATCATCGATGAGATATGAATACAAAAGATATAATATCTTTACACAGCAATAAAGAAATTCATTACATAAGATTGAGTTTGCACAAAAGCAGTAAAAAATTAGTGAAAGGCCGGCTATTTTCGTGATGGTTACATCATTGGACCGAAAATTTGTGACGCGGTTGAGCAGAAAACGCAGCAATCTTTGCATCTCCGTGTCACTTTGCCATCTACGTAAGCTCGGTATAACATTTGTAATGTCTTCCCCTCATCTCTCTGATCGTTGATGTAAATACACACACCAAACGAGTGGGAGATCGACGCCTCCCCAACCGACGACGTTGGCGAAGGCGTCTCTGATCAGTCAAATTGCGATCGTCGTTGCGTGACCATTTACGTTGCGCTTGGTATACAAATGTAGTTTGTCAACGCGCGTTTATACATATACATATATCTATATACGAAAATAACATTTTTGTCAAGAGCTAAGAGGTATTACGACTTCTTCCGGGATTACACGCTTTGCGACTTGTATTCTGCGAGACTTTACGGATTTTTTTATAGGTCCGTATAAAAAGCATACAAAAAAACGAGTTAAAGCATTAATTGACAATAAATGAACAAATATTATATACATCGATATTTAATATTTTTATACGGAATTATTTTCTTTTCTTATAAAATTATATCTATCTTTAGAGGATTTATCTAAAAAGTGACAAATGGTGTATAAAAATAGACTTTACATGTCACAGTGTTTCCGAATTATCAAACAAAATAAATTTACGTGTTTATATAATATTCTTCATTAAATTTAATTTCTAAAATATTGGCATGTATTTGCAAATTACGCTACACTAGAATACAAAAAATTTTCTTTTTATGGGAGGTATATATACAGCAAAGGATACATATAAGATATATGAATTACAGAAACATAAATCTCAATATATTTTTGTCAAGTTTATCGTTTTATCGTTTCACGTGTTATTGCAATTTCCTTACATATATTAGTTTTAAATTTTGTTTTTAATTCTTTAAAACAGGGTTAAACAATTGTTTGGCATATAACATTGGATTTGTAAAGAAAGCGTGAAAAGGCAGCTCCCGTGGAACTTGAACGTGTGCCGTATCAGAGATACCATCGAAGCGATAAAATGGAACGATTACTATTGCTAGCTTTTTTAGCTGTCATAGTATTGTGTCATGCACAGTTCCAAGTGATGTTCGAATGGAAGTCAATCGACTTTCAGTGGCGATTAGACGATGAACGGAAACAGGCTCTAGTGCGTGGCGATTATATACCAGCGAACAACTTTCTCACCACCGTGAAATTCTGGAAGGACAAGATGTATGTAACATTACCACGATGGAAAGACGGGGTACCAGTAACGTTGGGCGTCACGTCAGCGGAGCCAGTGAACGGGGTAACGGCGCCCTTACTGGAGGCATTTCCCAACTGGGATATGCAGAAGCTGGGCGACTGCTCAGCGTTTCAATTAGTCCACAGCGTGGAGATTGATCCTAAGGGTCGCATGTGGGTACTCGACACCGGTCGAGCCACATCTCTGCGTCAGGAGAGTAAGACCGGCTGTCCGCCTCGCCTCGTCATTCTTGATCTCGAGGACAAGGGCAACATACTCCGCAGTTACGAGTTTCCCGATCACGTAGCCCGCCTCGGGCCATCGGGGACATATCTCAACGATATCGTCCTTGATCACGAGAACGGTGGTATGGCATACATCACTGACAACGGCCGCGACGATCCCGGCATCATCGTGTATTCCTTGAAAAACAATACCTCCTGGAAGATTCGGCATAATTCTATGAAGGCGGAAGGGGAGGCGGTCGGATTCAAGGTAGCTGAAACACATGTCATCAATCCGGTGCACGTGGACGGCATAGCGCTTTCACCGTCAAGCAATCGCGACAGGTATTTTACCAAATCATTTTCTTATGCAGGACTAACTCGGAATCACTAAATATAATACAAAATGCTCCTAAGATGCGTAAAAAATTTTCAAAAAATGCGGAAAAGTGATTCCTTGGTTGATTTCTTGAAGAAAGATTCATATACACGAATGTCTTAAATGGCATAATTTTAAAAATGCAAGATAACATCTCTCTTTTGATTGCCATAATAAAAAAAAATTATTATTAATAGTCTGGTATTTTATTAATTGATTGAAATACATTACACAAAAAAAATTTTTGCATTGCTACATTTTGATAGCACGACGCACGTATTAGTTGCATATGCCATTGCATCATTGTACTGTATTAAAATTCTGCGATTAGATTAACAAATCTATATATTCATGATGCTGTATCATTCTATCTATTAACCTTTGATGTCTCATCGGCTATCAAAAACGACTAGCTATATTTTTACTGCTTAAAAACGTGTTATTGTCTTCATATGTCGATTTATAATATTTTTTTGTTTATTGACGATTAATGCTTTAACTTATTTTTTTTTAACGTATACTTTTTATACGGACCTATAAAAAAATCCGTGAAGTTTCGCAAGAATACAAGTTGCAAAACGCGTAATCTCGGAAGAAGTTGTAATTTCGTGATCGCTTAGCTCTTGACGAAAATGTTATTTTCGTATGTAGATATATATATGGAAGTTAAATTTAGCCATAAGCGGGCATAAATGGGGCGATATAGAAATATTGAAATGATTTTAACTATATATTGTTTTCTAGGTATCGTGCTCGCTATATATTATGTTTTTAGTTCATTTCGAAAAAAGATGTTAAATATATAAAAACTACTATTTTTATCAGTTACAACTTCTTCAGTTTATAATATTTTTATTATCAGAGGCAATATTGGCTTTGAACCATTTTTTAAATTTCATAAAGTGTCTTACTCATTGCACTTATCTCTCTGTGGCTAATTATATATAATAACTGAAATAAACATTATAATTTTTATCACTCACAATTTTTTTCAATTTATGATTAGCTAGATATGCAATGCGCACACAGAAAAATATTATTCTATTGCTAAGTAAAATAATTACTCAGTTTACTTTATTTCTTTTAAGTAACAGTTATCTTTAACAAAGAATATTTTCTTAATAATAGTAAAATAGACTTGTCACAAATTTTTGAAATACTCATTATTATGTACTCAAAAAAAGTAAATATTTTTTTTTGAAGAATATTATAAAATTTTATCGAAGAAAAGTCAGATATGATTAATTTAATGTAAGAAAATTTATTAGATCAGAAAAATTTAATGTATTTCTTTCAGTTATATAATTTAATATTCTTGATTGAAGTATTAAATTTACTAGGATTCAGAATAAAGATACTTTATGCAGCTTAAAAAATACTTCAAAGTCAATATTGCTTCCTGATAATCTTAATTCTTATTGCATATTCTTGTAACCGAAACCCCTAATTTTATATATATTTACATCGAGAAAAATTTTCTACAGTATTTTTAATAAATAAATTTCAAATTTATACAAGAGATTTTTTAACAAACGACAATAAAATCTGTTTCAGGCAGATTTACTACTCGCCTTTATCTTCGTTTCACTTGTACTCAATCCCGGTATCCGCTCTGAGAGACAACGTAACAAACATCGATCAGTACGTGAAGCAACTCGGGCGGAAGTCGTCGCAAACTGATGGTATGGCAATGTCAGCCACTGGCAAACTTTATTTCGGCTTATTAGCCGACGACGCTATCGCCATGTGGGATACCAAAAATACACCATCCTTTAACGTCGGTCTGCGAATTATATCGCGCGATCACGTTTTTACACAATGGCCTGACAGCTTTGCCTTCGATGAGAAAGGCAACTTTTGGTGTGTCACCAACATGTTACAAAACTTTTTGAACAATCGTGTCAATATCAGCATGCCCAACTATCGCCTGCTTCGAATACACGTAGGAGCTAGGAGTTATCAATATTACGAAAATGGCACGGCACCGGAATGGCCGGACTTTACTGCCGGTGCCGATTCCGTCAAATTCGCGCTCGCCACATTATTGGCCGCAATTCTAGTATTTGTCGCGAAATAACTGCTTTGTATTAAAGATATATGCAGATTTGAACTATACGAAGAAACGATTTACGAATTCATGTTGGCAAAAAAAATCGATTAGATGTTATATCCATTTTTAAGTTTGCAAAATTTTCCCTTGACGTTTATATGTTTAGAAATTGTAAAAACATGAGATGAAAATAATATAGAATAAAAAATTCAACAATTGTAATAGATAGATAGCATCTTCATAACGACACTATGAAAAATTTCATCAAAATAAGATTTAAAATAATTTTATAAAATTAAATTAATTATTGATTTATAATATAATTTTTTAGACAAAAACAAAAATCTA